GGAACAGTACGGTTGGTGATCACCATGCGCCCAAATGTTGCTCTTATTACTCCATTAACCTCGAAATCTTGATTTCGGAACGTACTTGCATGTAGGAAGGCAGAAGGGACGTCCATACATACATGGGACATCACTTAAAATAATCAATTTAGGATATGAAAAAGAGATTTAAAGTTACAAATTACGTCTCTGTCAGCTGCACACGATGATGGAGAGTTTTCTATTTCACAATGGAATTCCCTTGGAAGACCAAATCCCGCGGTCCAGATGGAAATCAGTGGTCCCGTCTACCCAGCCATTCAGCCCTCAGTGATAGCCTCAACTCATTTCAAAACGGACACATCATCCTGTCAAAATACCTCTCACTCTACAAGTACACTCATTTGCACATGAATTTGGTTTTCACGGGAGACTTAACTGAATCTCTCGTTGATGATATTCTTCAGCTGATTGTGCTGCACATGGGCCGCCTAATTTTTCAGTTGATACGATATTCGGGATATCGCAGTATATTTGTATTAAAGGAACTAATCAAAAGATTGTTGCAGCAGACATGTCATTTTAGTTTCGACTCTTTCAAAACATGATACTCACTCTGTATCAGTATTGCTCAACACATTTCGTTTCTCTATTCCGTTCAAACTCTGTCGGTTCGTTCCTGATTTTCTCATCCGAAACAACCTATAAACGATAACGGCATCCTGATGCTTTATCGACCACAACACATAAGGTCATGCACGACAACTTGATGACGTCGTCGCGGTCCATGCAACGCCCACAAAAGCCCTAGCATTGGCCGTAAACGCAGTGAAAATAAGCGCAGACATAGTGTATACCCTCGTGTGTTTCCTTTGTGGTTGTACCCACACATACGTCTGCACTGTTTGTGTGTTTTACGGGGGCGCTGATTCCGCCTTTCGTGTGCGAAAGACAGCCACCCCAACCACGTTTACTGACCTGGCCGTTCCATCCTCCCCTCCCCACAGAATCTAACCAGTCTCTGTGTGTCTTAGTGCGGCAGCGAGAAACTTTCCAGTACATCGAATACAACGTTCACCCCTGCGAAAGCCAGGGTAACTAATCAAATTATGAGGGATTTTTTCCTTACCTCATGGTTCTATATATGTGTTTCCCACTTTTCCCGTGAAAGAATCATTCGATTTGCGAGTGTGACCTGATTTGACCTGCATAGGATGAACCATTTTGAGGGTTAATGTAGTAGCACAAGACGGAAACTAGGCGACTACCTGGTCCATTCATACTCATTGCATAAGTGTCATCGTATTACATTTTGTTATGAAAGGGATTATGTTATATCCCGTTAGTATGTGTAATATGACTGGGCGCCTATCTCTAGGTTGCTAGTACTGTTGCTTTCCGACTGATTACAACAAGTTCACTAAGCCTTCCATAGTGGAACTCGAACTGACAGCTATCTTATTAAGTAGAGAGTACATTGTCAAGGCAAATTTTGGTTCGTGTTTCACATTGCTATGCGATGTCTGCTATGTTGGCGGACTTTCATCATTCCGTGTGCATGAGAAGTTCACTTTTCATCCGACTGTGTGCTGGTAGGGACGCTTGGTCACATGATCTTACACGCTTATTTAGACCATATATATATATATATTCTTTAGACTTATAGCCAACAGGAATTTAGGATATCCTCCACCCCGCTGTTTGTCTTTGCGAAAGAGCACTTACCTGTTCATGGACTTGAGTTCGCTGACCCTGACCTTCATTCACAAATTGGTAGGAATAATTTCTCACCCCACCTATCAGGTTAATTGTATCAACTAAGGTTGATTTTTATTAGTGAGCAAGTGATGTTCTAATGCAGTACCCCTACAATTTTTGTCCGGATTAGGACCACGTGAAGAATATGGTCACCTTTGTGGTGTCGCTCAGTGATTATAAAATCCACTTTTTGGTGAGCGACAAAACTGTATACTTCCAATCACTAGCACATCCAAAACATCCCATAGCGAATATGCTGGTTTGCCTTTTTTGAGACGATGGATATCTTGCAAGGCAGCTGTGTTATGCACGTGTAAGCTACCTTTTTATCCATTAAGTTTGGTGATTTTGGTTGGGGAAATAATCAACCGGAATGTGGTGATAAATGGGTCATTCACAACCAGTCGCTTCTGTCGGTCTGGAGAGGAAACTGCCTATCCTCAACTCGCCAACATTTTCGTGAAAATGGCGACCGTCTTTAGCTCAATTCCTTATATTTAACTTCCTCATCATTGTTTTGCTTCTGTGTTTGATCTCCACTTTACTGCTGCACTGCTGATGCATTTCTATTCGTCAGAACACCGTTATGCCTGACCATGTCCGGTCCAACTGTCCGTGAAGTTCCACCAAGCAGCAACCTAGCCCTAAAGTTTCGAAGTCAGAATAGGTTCTTTTACGTGCCAGAGTTGAACTTGTTTTACTTCTGTGTAACAGCTCGGTATTAGCTCCAACCGGTAATCAAACATGATTCGTAAATGAGCGAACAGGTGTTCAAAAATTGGGCAATGCCTCAAAGGATTACCGTTAGACAGCCATGTTCTTACGGTGGTTTCAGTGTCTAGTTCGAATCATCGTTCAAATTCTCTGTTATGATTGACTTCAGTCGTTCGTCCTGAATCGCTTTCTTGGACAATAAGGGCGTCATTCAGTTCATCAATTACTCAACACATCTGAGTAACTCCGGATGCATGTTCACCAGACATGATCCCTCCATCGACAGGCACCCTGACGTGGTATTCCTCAGTGGCAGGAACACAGTCATTTTAAATGATACCCCACAGCCAGTTAGCTGTCCTCGTCTCTGTCCACAAGCATTTTTGAACGAATGGTTCGGAATCAACTCTCCATATGGGTCAGCAATCGTAACAGGCACAGGGTTGATACCCGTTGGTGCAGACCAATCGGTTTCAAATAGACTGGTGTTGCTATTGGGTTAGCTCAAGCCAGACAATCTTATTGCTATAGAACCCAACGATAGACGCATGAATTTTGGCGCCAGTTAGTTAGATGTATCTCCTTTCTATTAGGTTATAGAGTAAATCTTGAAAATTTGCTTGTGAAACGTCGCTTTTTTAACTGTTCCGAATCAAGCACAAAGAACGAACCATATTCTGGCAACATTATCTGATACATACTTTCGAGACATCTTGATCCACAGCCATTAGTGTTGAAGCAGAGGTTCTGATAGCTATCAGAGCACATCAGTGTAACCAAGTAACATGAAGCGACTGCAGAAGTGCGAAAACTGAAGTTCAGTGAGTGAGGTGTGAACATGTGACAGGATTATATAAAAAACAGAAGCTACAGCTACAGCGTTCCTTGTATACAAGTGAAGGAATGATGGGAAGCACTGGGAGAGAAGAGATAGCAGAGAAATGGGAGCTATCCGTTCGCAGTTTCCACCAAGTTCAAATCGTGTTCTCACTTTGGATGTGTAGTTCTGCTTTTATTCGCCTCGTTTCCACAGGCGAAGAACAGCTCGTTATTTTCGCTATTTTTCGTGAACTATCACGAAAGGTGTACGAGATCTCTCTCAGAGCACAAGTGAATGCATCTGATAACACGAGTGTTTTACTTTAAATTGGCCTGAGCCACTGATTCATTCGGTGACACCTATTTGACTCGGACAGCATCTAATTTGCCTTAATCCTCTGAACAGACACTAATATATACACTGTGGGTGATTCTGTATTATTCAGTGTTGAAGCCACGTGGTCGGTTTTTACATACAACCAAGTGCACCAAAATGCCCATTATCTAGTTGCTGACGTGGCTACAAGCGTCACAGCTCCAACCACTTGGGTAAATCGTCGAGGAATAGCTCGTTCGAATAGGTGGAAACGCTCATTATCAGCTCCCCACCCTATGTACTTCTTGATCATGTATCCTTTACCAGTTCTGCGCGGTACTTGCTCCTGCAAGCCAGCGCACACAACCATAGATTACCTTGAAACATGTGTCTGTTTTCGTCATTAAGTTGATAACCCACTCGTCCCAGCCGGTACGGACCGGACACGCCTCCCCGATCATGACTGAATGTTTTCACCCGTACACCGTACCTCATGTCCTTTACTTGGTTACATCCTTTCGCAGACAATCATTGACCTCGACGCCATGTGTGTGTGGATGGGATGAAACCACAAATGAAGCCAATCCGCACATCCAAACTGTCCGATAATTTCTTCGTGTCCTGTTCTACTTGGTTCTGTAGGGCGGCAGATTTCTCTCCATGAGAAAAGGAAGGGGAATGGATACCCTCAGTGGAGTGTAAATTATGTACTTCTCTGAACTTATGCGCTGCTGAGTTTACTGGTGATTGCCTACCCTATGGTATTATCGCCTCATGTCGGTCTGTCTAATGAATCAGTAGGACCTCTAAGGTGCATTTGATACCTTCCATCTCAATGCCATTGGCTTGTACTGTGGAATCATCTCTGCTCTTAATAAGTTTGAATGGAATGCGATATTGTTTTCTTCCATTCTGTTTTGTATCTTTGTTTTATCAGTGCACTACAGAGTAATCAACATACCACAAACAAGTCGCGAGGTTTTTTACTTGCTAGCAGTTGTGGGTCGATCACAGCACATTGTGGCGTTGGGAATGATGTTGCACGTGCGGCAAATATGCAGCATGTTGGTGAGCAATACAGACGATGCGCGTTTGCGGGCTAGAGTGATGGACAGCGCTTTTGTGGACAAATGCGACCACAATAGTGGTGTGATGTTTTTCTCTACTAATACCCTTGTTCTTCCGTTGTTACACCCCCATGCGTTGGCGGTGTTCATGAATCACGTGGGTCATGCCTATCTATGTGAAAAGCAGCAATGGATCACAAGACACTCATAATGTGCATTGTTTAGCGGCAGATAAACTGTTTTGTGCGTAGTGAACGTTCCCGACATCCACAAACGTAAAATAACATAATGCTAATCAATGCCAACAGGAGTCATCGTGCAAGTTTGTCCTTCTCAATCTATTTCAGCAATCAACTCTGACCAGAGACTTTTGGCCGGAGAAAGTGGATGAACATAGATTACGAATGCACGAGGAACTGAGTCAACTGTTAGCTCCCTGCATTCAGCAGGTCGTCGAATTCGCTAAGCGGTTACCCAATTTCAGCAATTTAGGTCAGCCGGATCAACTGATACTAATCAAAGCGGCTTTTTTTGAAGTTTGGATGGTGCAAGCCGCACGAATGGTTTCAATGCACGATCGAACGATTACACTGGGTGACGGGAAACAGATCACCAAGCAAGAATTGGATTTTATCTACTCGGTGAGGATCTGCCTTGTTTTATTTTATTTCATGAGTTTCTAGCTTATTCTGACGTCACTTTCATCTGACCTTTTCCCATTTGTCAACCAAAGATAAGATATGAGTTCTCTTGTGATATAGCCTTTTCTAATTTCATTATCATTATCATTTCCTTCCTCATCATTTAAGGACTTAAAACACGCAGATTGAATCCCCATGATACTGCCACTCGGTGCTTACCACCAAGAAGAGCTCACTGTGAGTATAACAGCAGAAACTTCACAGCACAGGGATTCCATTTAAAATGGACGCGGATACTACTACTATTCTCGCTGTTCAGTCCTATTTAGAGTAGCTGCAGTCCAAGAAATACCACTCAGACAATGCCTAGACAGACCTTTTTGTCCCCCAAATTCTCTGAAGTGGGTCAGTTTGGTCGGACTAGGTACATCAGACCTAAGGTGGAACTGGGAAGTAGACACTCCAGTGACTGCAAAGATTGTCATTTGGGGCTAACTTCTAGTAAAGAGTACATTACTATCTGACCCATTTATGTCGTTTTGGCCAGTCGATTGTCGTCTGGGCTAAGAAATTCACTTGCCAACGCTCCAAAGAAATCAGAGATCGCTTAGAAGAAGTTAATTCGGTACCTCCGGACTTCAACAGTTTACTCCGTTAGTCACTGCACTGTTTACCGTATGTACAGCACAACTAAGCACCACAGTCTGTCACCAGAGTGGTTTATTCTGCACCTTAGTGAACCGGCCAAGATGGAAGTATCAAACAATGGTTTTAGCGGGCCGTTTGAGCACAGCCGACACAGACATAGTGGGATGAAAGAATTTCCATCTTTGTTGATATTATGAAATTTGGGATTTTTTATTTAGAGGTTCCACACTGTGGCTGAATTAGCACTCGCAGGAAGGACAAGAAGCACCCGGAAGGCGTATTACGTTGATTGTGAATCATCAGTTGGGTGTATTTCAGAAACAGCTCCCCAGTGTTCTGCTTTTCGGTACGGACTGATTTCACTCACGGGGCGGAATCTCGACTGAATTTTCAAAGTCTCCTCATACTATCAACAGTTATGGGTAGTTCAGAAGGAAGGGATAATTCACAGGACGCGTGAACTTCTCTTCCGGGATTTTTTCACTCCGGGAGCCAAAAACCTTGCCAGGTGATATGAATTCTGTGAACAAAGGATGAGTGGTGTGGTGTTTGATTTGAACACACAGCTAATCAGCCTCTTGTGGCTGAATGATTGAGTGTTCAGGTTACTAGCCGCGACGTTGCGGGTTCAAATATTCTAGGGGATTCGTGAGGTGGGCATTGCTGATGATTCCAAAGAAGGTTAAAGCAGTGTTTTTCAGCTTTTCACCATAGATTGACTCCATTTACATGGCGAAATCTAGGTAGATATTCAATCTGTGCTTGACTAGGCTTTGAGATGTTCGACGAGGTACAGATCATGTAAGACGAAGGATGGATATGGGAGTAAATGCTGGTGAACGGACAATCGAGGGTGTCTCGAGAAGTTTAAAAGCTAACAAGGTCTAGATCTATCGTGATAACAGAATACAATAACAGCTGGGAGTGCGAACTGAACTGATTTATCCATGACTGTAATAGTGCAGGTGTAGTGAACACCAGTTCCTAACTCCAAATGCTTGTACTCAGTTCGTCTTGCCTAACCACATTGGACGTTAAGGCGAGTGGAATAAATCTGGATAAACCTTCGTTGTATAGATTGGTGCCAAAAGGTTCTCCGGATTAATCGGTAGATGAATGTATTGCTGTTGTGCTCGGCTAAATGGTCTTGGTGATTTCATACGAAAATCTGTATAATCGAAACGTAGGAACACAGTGGTGTCCCGTCAGTACACGAAGTAAGTCAATAGCAGCAGTTCATTGATACCTTTAGCAAAGCCGGTGCTTTAGAGACTGAGTTTGGTCAGACCGATGCTAAACTACAATAGAAACATAACTTATCAATCAGTGCATGTTGTGGTTATCCCTTAGTAGTTGTGACTGTACTATATGCTAAATTACAAGCAAGTATCATTAAATTTATTAATGGCTAAAAAGAATCACGGTCAGATGAACGCTGGATGTTCGTGGTTGTTGAAGGTGATCAAAACATTAGAAAACCAGACGGTGTAGGATTTAGAAAGATGAGTCTTGGACAGTTCATTGGCTAAACTTACCATTATTAGGGGTGACCATGCACTGTGTCTCGCAACTGAACGCATAGTTACAAGGTTTGACTTACCAGCAAACCGACTTTGGCTGATCCGTCTGTTTGCGATCTAGTATTAACCATTGTGCCATGATGAAATTGTGAGTTTTCTGTGCTCAGCGAAACACACTGTCCTATTACTTACCAACTCTGTCACATGGATGTCTACATTCTTGACGGTTACCCACCTCCTGCCCTCTATTTCAGCCCAGTGTGGTTTGCATGATGTTCACATTCTCAGAAAGCTTCAATGCGCTTCGACTTAACGATGCTGAGATTGCGCTTTGCTGTGCAGCAGTACTGACCAAACCAGGTAAGATCTGATAGTAACCGAGTCCTATCAAATCCCAGGCGCTTTGACCTTTGCTGTACGTGCAATTTTATTGAGGTATATGCACCTTCGTTAATGGTATATTGCGGTCGGTATGCGTGAAGTTTAGAGAAAATGGAGGGTAACAAACCACAGAAATTCGCTGCGCGATAATGCCGAATTAATGCGCTGCAATGTTGCTACACTTCCGTTATTTTTTGTCTTCAGTTTTACCCGTTTATGTGTCTATCCAGCGAGCAACGTTTGGATATTTGTAGAGACGTAACCGCAGTCGAATCATACGAACACTCAACCATTGGGCCATTTGTTCTTCCCTCACATTATGAGATGCACCTTTGCCCCGAAACCTATGCTTCCGGTTTTGTAGCGTATAATACGAAGCATAACATCTGCTAGTGCTTCATGGACGGAGTTTATCTACAGGCTTCGACTTTCGGGACAAAATATCTAACTCGGTACTTACAGTGATGACCGGAACCAACCGTTCGACAGAATTCCACTGAAGTGAAAGTCTTGTACGCAAAAACGTGGTTGTTCTTTAACACTACGGATGGCAAGTAATGTCATCCTACACATGGCAGCTACTATGGCAAGGGTTTCACAACTGAACATTTAATACTATTTGTTTACTATTTAGTGCTGTTTTTACTGTCTTTATTGTTATTTCGTTTATGCGCAGCATTTCAGATCACAACCCAGAAAACGACTCTGATAATGATTTCTGAGCAAAACCCGTTTTCCTGCATTGCATTCATTGCCATATCCAGTTGTTGTGCTCAGCGATTTCGAGGATTCTAACTTCATCTGAATAACACACAAGCTAATTTTTGAACGCAACAGGGAACGTATTTCCGTCACTTGATTTCAACGTTGGGTAAACAAAAATGTTGGTGGCGCTCAGAGCCCATCAGAGACAGCTTGTATTTATTTAGTTATGACCAGAATGCAATAATAAATTGACCGCTATCAATCCACATGGATCCGCTAACGAATATACACGCTGCAAATTGGTACATCTCTAGTGTGCGTGTATCGAAAACACGCCATCAATGCGTTTTATAGCAGTCCTCTAAAATCCTACTTGTGAGAATGGCTTATTCATCGTAATGTTTGTTTGTTTTCGTCTGACGATAGTCCGAGACGTACTTGTTTTTGCACCCGATGTTTTGCTTCATGTCCGCGGGATTCCATCAGTCCATTGTAATTTCTCTCTCCCCTGACGCTTTACTTTCGCCTTTTTTTAAACAGATCGTTATGGGCTGAGTGAGCCAAATAAAGTGGCGTTGATGCAAGACCGCAATATTGCCGCTCTACGAATGCAGCTGGAACGTAATCGTCCAGCAGAACCGGTTATAATGTCTCAAGTTCGTAATTCTCTCATTCAGCTGGCCTCTTTGGGTGAAACCCTGCAGTTGAGCATTCGTTGGTATCGTGAGAATTGGTATCGAACTAGACTAGCACCGTTATATGCAGAAACCTACGATATACCTCATGAAGAAACCACAACGACGGCATCCACACCCCCTGAGATGTCAGCTAGTAACGCTACTGCCCAAGTGGCTGGAGTCGTGTCATCCAATAATAGCTACGGTGCTGGTTCTGTGTACCAGCCAACGGTCGGATATAACGGTGGCATGGAAATCGCAAGTTATGGTACTAACGGAATCGTGATACCTCCAGTGATGCAGCATCATTATCCAGGTTCCGGTATAGCACCAACGGACGGACCTAACCCCACGTACTTTTCTGCACCGACGTCAAATTCACGAGTTCCCTCTGGAACTGTACAGCATTATCCCTCGGGAACATCGACCCCTTTACTGCCCGCACGATCGCAAAACCGACCACCTTCGGTGGGATCGCCTAAAGACCCATATTCGGCATCAAACCTAGCATGCTCTCCGTCGTCGCACGCCACCATTCCACGTTCCAATGCCAGCCAGGCCGGTTTCCACACTAGTTCTGTTGCTGTTCACGCGCCATCGGACGTTGACTCTTTTTCCCGCACGTTGCACTGTTCAACTCCAGAAAATGGCCCCCTAATTAGCAGATCCCAGGATAGTAATTCTCACTCACTGGATCGCCAGTCCAAATTACCCATACTCCAGAAAGCACCAGGATACTGTTCTGAAAATACGGATGATTCCCCAGCACACACCCCTCTGGTCCTCCACCAACTAAATTCAGAAGCATGTAGCCCTACAATCACGACATCAGGTTCGTTCGATCCCGCAGTCGCCAGTGATCCAAGACAATCTTGCTCCTCTGGACCTAGCACACCACGACAACCAGCGAGCGCTCCCACGACACCGAATGTGGAAGACTCATTTATTGTATGGGGTTCACAAAATGGTCTAGTGGGCGTTCCTAATCATGATGCCACGATGGATTTTCGGAACTCTCCCAAGCCTGACTCTAATTACCGTGCGCCCGAAAACCCATCAACTGTAAAACCATTTGACGATTTGCGTTCCGTCCCCCTAGTGGCTGCAAAAAAGGAGGCGGCGAACTATTTTGGTGACGAATCTATTGAGTAGTACAAACTGGTAAGTTAAGATCACCCCCTGTTCATCTTGATTAGTAATTCTTTCTTACTGGCGCCTACAAAGTGGCAACGGTTTACGAGCGAGTGAAAGATTCTCAGCGTTGCATTGACGGGCAAGCTTGGGATTTAGCAAGCAGCTTGGTTTTTATTACAGTCCAGCTGATCAGCTGGCCTAGTGCTTGCTGAACGGACAGCATCTGGTTATAAGTGATGTTCAACGTCTTGAAGCCATAAAGCGGGTTCTTCTCCCGTTATTTTTGTACGGGGTCTCTACTTCTTGGTGAACCACAAATCCCAAAGGAAGCTAGGTTATGTTTGATGTCATCTACAAAGAGTTCTTCAGTTGCTAGAACGTTTGATGGTAAACGAGCTCTGCCAACTGACCCAGCTAGGTTAGATGGTATGATGTACGTACACATGGGTACAAAAACCGGTGAACTGCTCTGCCAGTTCTTCATAGCAACATTTTGGCTCCTATTGCAACTAGATGTTATCCAAAAAAGATTTGCGAGCTGTTATGTTGTGTTTAACTGTTAACTCCGTTTCCACACACTGTGGTCACACCGATGTGGCATTTGACATTTTCTCAAATTCAAGCAGGGAACGGCATTGCTCCTTTCAGAAGCCTTGCAAGACCATATGAATTTTAGTAGTATTTTTGCTTACCCAGATATCTCTGCCGCTCAAGCGATTATACAGGCATACATAGTAAGAAAATCGCTATACTTGGTAAGGTAGAAAAATAAAAAAAAATCGAAGTATTACTCTGACTCTCGAGAATGGGGCTGACTGGTAACTTCCCCTATACAAAACGGACGGAACTGTGCAGGCATTCACTGTGTGAAATGACAATAAATGAACCAATTAGAAAACAGGTGACACACACTATCTGATTGGTAAATGTGTACTAGCTGATCGATTCACATAGGCGAACAAACTTTTTTCACATGGCAAAATCAAAAGTTGCGGCGCATCTTACCACTGTCTGGTATATTCCTGCAAACTCCAGACTACTACAGACGAGTAGATTTCTTGTTGGTACAGGGATTGCAATGGCCCTCAACATTTCAGGTTCGATCATTGTAATGAAATCGTCGCACGGAGTTATGCAAAAAATGAGGTTGATATGTACGTATGCTTCTTGTCTGATGGAACTGCTACTTTAAGACTGTCTAGCTTTAAGCACCAAAGTGCTTGAAATGTTTCCAAATTAGGACTCCGCCATGACTCTGGTGCACTCGGTCAGTTATTATTCCGGAGAATTTTGTCAGCGCAGGAGGCAAAGTTGGTCGTTGGTACGTTCGCTGCAACTACTGCAACCTAAACTGCCTTATACAGGGAGCGGACCAACGACCACATTTGCTCATGTTTTTAGTACGCAGTCCATCCGATTGTTAAGCATTTTGTATTCATCAGTCAGTATAGTACGCATCGACTGACTGTTTCTTTATATGGCTTTCGTCCTACTTCTTAACGCGACTGTGTTGGACCTGAGGACTGCGGCAATAGTAGGATTGTTGAAGTCTGATTGAAGAGTCACTGCGATTCCTACAAGTAATTGACCATTCTCAGGAAAAAAGATCGCTCACCATATCTGGTCAAGTAAATTATTTTCCTGGCTTTATATTTCGTCCATAATAAAACCACGTTCTTTGAAAAAGCATCGCCAAAGTCCCATTTTTCCACTTATTTTCAGGATGTGGTCAGCTTTCATTAGTTTATTCAGCTTGGTGTCTTCGTACTGCCTTCCCGTCCTATTTAGCTCAGTTACATTCCCTATCACTTCCGGCGTCAAACGTTCCACTTCCGACGAAAAGATACAAGGAACTCATTCGCTTGTCTAATAGCGTGATACTTGTTCACAGACCAATTACTCTTGGTCTTTAGTGCGTCAGACAGCTCAATAGTTTTTTTGTCGTGATACTAACCAATGAACTGTCATCCACAAGGATGACATACCATTCATATGTCTTGAGCCTATACTTATTTCGTAAGCGCTTAGCACTCAATTACCGATAATTTTTTAGGTTTTCCGTATTCCTCGCGGCGAGATAGCACAAAGTCCTTTGGCTTCTATGGTTACTCATGATGTTTTCTCGATGCGAAACGGGATACTGGGGGCTTGCCTGTTGGAATATCCACATATGGAAGTTTCCGTTATTAAAACTGAAATTTTTATCATAGGTGAAGTTTTCGGTGGAATACTAGTATCCCGTCACTTTCGTTAGTCTATCTCTCTATATCACTTACTTAGCTTCCTTTCGATAGAATGTGAATCTAATGGTCTGGAATGCTTAATGCTGTATACACCTTTAGAAGTACTATAGTGATGTGTTGCTATATCCATTTGCAGACTCAATTTTTTGGTCACTTCGGTATCAACGTCTGTACCCCCGAATTCGATAGAGTGCTGTATAGTGGAATCCTACTGTCGTCAAATCTTCGCTGCGTGCTACTGTACATGGATCCGCCAGTTGCTACTCATCACACTTCTGGTCAATCAGACGTCAATCGTTTCCAAGTGCAATGTCTACTGAATTTTGCGTTGATTTTTATTGCTTCAGTAAGTTAGATTCCCACATGAGAACGGACACGAACATCTGGTCCGTTTCTGAAACACCCAATTCACCGATTTTGTGCGCCCACTGTTGCGCTGGCGACTGCCTGTGATCCAGTGATGAATTGCATCTTCCGCCAACTACCTAGCACAGTTGCCGTGTGTTTTGCCCCTCTACCGTCTTCACCAAGTTTCTTGGGGTTTCACCACGCCCGACACGAAATCTCTCAGGTTCTGCGTTTCATCGGTTTTGCATCTGAACATGGCGTTCAAACTTTACATCACCGTGATCAACCGTGATTTTTAAATAATCTCCTCTCTCAGGGCTTCTTGAAGTGCAACCTCAATTACACTTTCACACTGCACACTTAGACGCTTCGTTGATTATTCCACTTTTTGATAGTACCAATTATGTTTTGTTGTTCTTTTTGATGTAACTGCGCAGAAATTTTCTAATTTCTTTGCGTCGATTTTTCGATAGAAACATTTACCTCAAAGGCCCATTATGGTATGAACTTACACAATAAGAGGTTCACCCCTTTCCCTTCTCGGATTTTTCTCATCTACTACTCCCTTGCTTCGATTCCAACTACTCGACGGCGTTTGCTTGACTGTGGTTCCTTCAGAGCTGGGAGTTGCGGTGGATTGTTTTCATGCCATTTTGCACTCCGTGGAACGGATACCTAAAGGCAATATTCTTACGGCACACGACTTTGGACTGTTGCCACAGCAATGAAAAACAGACAACAGATCTAGTATGAACCTCTTTATTACTGCAGTTCTAATTGCAATATGCCCGCCTTGAGGTGTCCATTCATGACGTCCCGACCGTTTCACGTCTCGTCCCAGGGAGTCATCAACCACTGTTGAAACTCGTTTCTGTGACTTCTGGTTCGTCCTGTAGTCCATCCATTGCCTTTCCCATTACCATTGACTAAGGGTGTGTTGCTTCAACTGTCTCTCTTGTTATTGTTTATTTTCTCTGTTGGTTTGTTCCAAACCGTGTTACCTCATTCACCGTCGCCAGTGTTTACCTTACCTGTTTCACACGTATTCGTTTGATCGGCCGCTTGTTTGGTCTTGCGGTCTCCGTTCTTTCCATCAACGCACTACCTCAAACTTGTTATATTTTCTTACTGTCTCGTATTAATTACCATTATTAATACTATTGCTATTATTTTTTGACTCACAGTGTTTTGGGTCAAACACCAGTGCGCTGCTTCTCCTATTGTTGCCTTTCCTCTTTTCCATCGTATTTTGTTTTTTTCTGATTCCAATCACTCAGGTTGCCCGTTCCGATTTGTTGTATAATAGTAGTATCTTTGAAAGTCAAACTACAATTACTGTTGATAAACACACACAAACATATACCTCCACTGACATTGAACAAAACAGTGCCACACTTGGCCAGCCGGGCGTTGTCGCCTTTTTCCGTCCCACTTTTGGGGTATGATTTCAACCTCAACCAAGGTTTGATTCTCAGGATTGTTGGCGTACCGGTACAAATTGCGACCACAACTGCTTTTTCTCTCTCTCTCTCCCCCTCAGCCTATCACCACTTGTTGTTTTTCGTCCGAATGCAGGAACATGTACGTATGTATGCAAGCGCTCAAAACAACGGACACCACACAACTCATTTCTATCTCCTTTTTTCGTGCCTTTTTGGCTCTTTGTATGTAAGTATACACCTGATTGATCGAAATTTTACATGATACCGCAGTGCCTACCCTTTCCATCGGTCCTCTTTTGACCTGACGCCTTCTTGTTTGCACTGTCGGCTTTCCAAAATCGACTCAGGGATTAAACGGCACTTAATTGTCAGAGATCTGATGCGTTGGTCTACCACATAGCCAGTTGTGTGACAAAGCTCGTTTTGGTATTTGATCTTGTTTTTCAAAAAAGAAGAAGAATTTCCTGTAATCTTTTTTGTGCTCATGTATTGCTATTCTCGCAGGTATTTGCCTGTTTTTGTCTTTTCAGTGTAGCCATCCGTTCGTGCCTCAACTGCCTCTTCCAGCCCCAATTCCAGTCCACGCTGTTTCCTTACGCGCGTGTGCTGGTTCTCCGGTTGGTTGTCGTCGCTCATTGTGATTTTCCAAGCTGTAAAACGGAATGCAGTTATTTTTTCCTTGCAGCATATCCTCGTCCCTTCTCTCGTGTGAAGTAACCGCACACAAATTTCAGGGATGCTCTATCTTAATACACCCCATTCGAACGTCTGTAACCGAGTTTTTCGGAATCTGGGTATGGTCACACGTGAAGCGTACTTGTGAACGGATGCCGATCAGTCGTACAAGGGAAGGCGAAAAATGATCCGAACCATCCGGCTTTTCGTGCTTTGAACTCGACATCGCTCCGTATGTGGTCTATCTATAGTCAGAACCGAGATCTAGACCCCTTGAATGTCAGCTTTTAGGGTTGCAATGCACCCA